TCTCGTATGTGGGTTCCAAGTTAGTATTTTGTCTAGAAGGAAGCCAAGTATCGGACTGTGTCTGAGTAGGGAAGAGGAATTGAATTAAAAAGGATTGGCGGGCAGGATCGTGCGTCGAAGAGTGAAAGTTACATGTTTGCATTTTGATTCATTAATTTTGATGCGCCAGTTGTTGCACCACTGTTCAATGAAAGAGAGGTGTCTTTGCAGGTTTCGGGATGTTATTAGAGGATCTGAGTGGGAGGATAGAATGGAAGTATCATCAGCAAATGTTGCTAGGAAGGTATTAGGACTTGAATGGATGTCAGCGGTGAAAAGGATGTAGAGAACTGGGCCCAAGACACTGCCTTGTGGAACACCAGCCTCAATTGGATAATGCCTGGAGAGTTCAGTGCCGCAGCGGACTTCTAAGACTGGTAAGTTCTTTGTTTGGCTGCTGAACCACGAGGTGTACTAACGCTGTCTGACCGAGTCCTCTTGGGCAAGTTACTGGTCACCACTAGCTGATTATACCACATATCATAAGAGAGAAATTTGTTTGCCTATTTTTTACCGGAATCTTTCTGATTATTCACTTAATACAGTTCATGTGCACGTCAGAGCAGTTGATATTTACTGTTGACGTCTTTTTTGTTATTTTTAATTTTTTTTTCTTTTCCTTTTTCTCTTATGATATGCGGTATTATCAGCAAATGATAGCCAGTAAGCTTCCCAAGAGGACTCGGTCAGACGGCGTTAGTACACCTCATGGTCCACCAGACAAACAAAGAACTCATCGCTGCCAACGAGAAATACCTCCAGTGACCAAAGTTAACACTTCAGAGCCAGAACCTGAGCCCCAACCAATTACGTCTTCGCAAGAAATGATCGAAGAATCTTCTTTCTTTACTCCAAATCCCTGCCAAATGCTTCGAAATGACCGAGAAGTAATGGAGTCTGCAGCAATACCCAGAGAACCAAGGCCCCCTCCGATATTTGTAAAGATATCAAACATTTCCAGTTGTTCTGCACCCAACTAAATAAAATCTTCTTTAGCAGTTATTCAAGAATTAACAGGACCAATAACAATAGATTCTGCTGAAGCTTACCGAAAAATAGTGAAGTACTTATCAAAAACAAATGCGAATTTTCACGCATACCAGCTGAGGTAGGAGAAAGCGTTACGAGTAGTGATAAGAAATTTTCACTCCTCAATCCCAACTGAAGTGATTAAAGAAGAACTAACGACGCTTGGTTTCAATGTACGCCAGGTAACCAATGTTTTAAAGTAGGACAAGGAGCAGCAAGGGTTACGAAATAAAATCCCACTACCATTGACAGAAAGAAATGCGGCGAACAGCACAAATCTGTAGAGTGCACCAACTCTATACAAGATCCTGCAGTGTGTGCCTTATGCTTGGAGGAACACCCAGCCAATTACAAAGGCTGCCAAATTTACAAGAATCTCAAAACCAGACACCAGAAAAATCGGATTCAAGATAAATCAGGAAGAACAAGAAGAGAGAGAGAGAGCCTTCTAGAACTGTAAACAATGATGTATCATTCCTCCAACTACTTAGAGGTAAGAATTCAACCGATAAATGTCAAGCCCTGCTGCAACAACAACCTCAACCCCAACCTCAAACTCCTCTTCATCCTAATATACCGAACTATCAACAAAGAATTCATCATATTCCTCCTCCTTCAAATGCAACAGATCTCACAAGTTTGTTAGCATCTTTCCTCACCGATTTCAAATCCCTTGTTACTCCACTCATATCACTCCTCACAAATCTCGTATCTCACCTTATCCCTCATTTAAAAAATCCTTAAATGACTCACATCCCAAAACCCATATCCATTCTTCTTTTGAATGCGAATGGTGTTAACAATTATACAGACGAACTATCTACTTTACTACTTGACAAGAACATTGATTGAAATTATTGAAACTCGACTAACCACTAAACAACTCTTTAAAGTACCGCAATACTTGACATATCTTACTCACCATCCTGATGGTAGAGCACATGCCGGCATTTCTGTCATTGTACACCAATCGCTGTCCCATCACCTACTCCCATTATCTAATCAAGACCTGCAATCCACCGACATTTTAATCAAAACCTTTTCCTTTCTAGTCACTCTTGCATCAGCGTATTGCCCTCCTAACAGATCCATATCCAATGACCAGCTCAGTTCTTTCCTTAACTCCTTAGGACATCACTTCATCCTGGGTGCAGACTTGAACGCCAAGCATCAAGAATGGGATTCAAGAACCACGAATTCTCGTGGTAGATCGTTGCTGTCTGGACTCAATCCTCAAAGTTTCAACCTTCTTCCTCCCATCTCACCTACCTACTGGCCAACTGATCTTAACCGCAATCCTGATATCCTAGATTTTCTTATCCAAAGTGGTTTAGGTCACCTCAATCATTCCCTTACCCGACTTGACGAACTTTCCTCAGATCATAGTCCATTAGTACTACAATTATCTCTAGCTCCTATTCCTAAATCCTCTCGACCGTCCTTCATCAGAGGTCCAGTTAACTGGAAACTCTTTCATAAAATCATTTCCAATAAAATTGACCTCAGATTAACCTTGAAAACACCACAAGACCTTGAGAATGCCGTAAAATACCTTCACCACCACCATTCAACAAGCAGTATGGACAACTTCCTCACCAAATCATTTCTCAAGATTCCCTAAGAAAAATGGTTTACCCCCAACACATGATAGATCTAATCCACACTAAACGCCGTGCCAGATCATTATGGCAATGTACCAAACACCCCATCGATCGTCGCTCCTACAATTATTATTGTAAACTACTAAAGCTCGAATTATCATCCTTCAGATCCCAATCCTTTGATACCTACCTTACTTCTCTCTCTGTTCACAACAATTCCCTCTGAAAACCACCAAAAAAATCCTAAAATCCCATTATATTTTTCTCCTGGGCAGCGTTTGATGAAGACAAAGCTGAGGAATTCGCCAGACACCTCTTCAGTACATTCACTCCTCATCCAGAATCCTATCCAACCCATACCGCAAAAATAGAATTCCTCTCTTCGCCGATTCCACTCTCCTTGCCACCTAAAGCAGTTAATCCATCTGAGGTCAAACATCACTTTCAAAAACTTCCTCTCCGTAAATCTCCTGGGTACGACCTCCTAACCCCACAGATCCTTCGACAACTTCCACCCAAAGCTATCATATTCCTTACATATATTTATAATTGCATCTTAAGAACTACCCACTTTCCTCCATTATGGAAACATTTCACCATCGTTCTGAAACCAGGCAAACCTGCCAACAATAACTTATTCTATAGAGCAATTAGCCTATTCCCAATCCTATCAAAAATTGTTGAAAAAATCCTACTAAAATTCCTACCCATCAATTCGGATTTCGTTTCCAACATTCCACTGTCCAACAAGGACTCCAAGTTTTCTACCATATATCCTCAGCCCAAGAAATGAAGCGATACTGTTCGGGTGCATTTCTGGACATAGCACAGGCTTTTGACCGGGTATGGCCTGCTGGAGTGCTCTTTAATCATAAATTCCATCAACCAGAGTCGTTATATCTAATACTCCGTCCCTACCTCTCTAACAGCTCCTTTCAAGTTCGCTGTGGTACTGAATTCTCTATGGATTTTTAATGAGAAAAAGTACTCATTAAATAGGCCCAATTAGATGCTGGCTGCTGGAGTAATATACATAGGTATTGAATTCTCCCATCGAGGGACTAGCTTCTGCTTGTACTTATGGGTAGAGAATGTGATCTGCTGAGATCCGTGCTGCCTCTCACTGGGCACTTCTTGATGCTTGAGTCTAGCTAGTCATATTTCTGGATATGCTGCGTCATGGATACCATTTTTTAGGAAGATTGGCACTGATATATTGTACCTTGACCTCCAGGTAGGGCTCTGGTTGCTCATTTTCGCCAATAGATGGTCATATTCACCAACTCTGATCAGCAATCGATGGCGCTGCTCTGATCACTAATAGATGGCATTGTTCTTTTGACATATTTCAAATTATAGTCTATAGTGCACTTAACATACAGCATACTGATCAATCCACATGGACATAACTCTTACATTACATTATAAAAAAAGTTTCATTAGAATGAGTGACCCCACGTCTGTAACCTCTCCTTGTAAGATCCACAGGAAAGAGGTCAAAGGGTCAACTTTGAGAACCATGGATGGACAAAATCACTGGGAGATAAAAGCTGGCTAAGGCCTAGGAGATATGAAGATGCAGGGAAATGAATGCAACTGGTATAAATAGATTGAGGCCTTTCCACCCTGAAATAAATTAAGAAGGGAAAAAAAGAAGAAGGTTAACATACATAAAAAACAGAGTAGCGTTTCCACTATAATTTTCTTTTGGTAGGTCAGATTTTCCCTTTAATTCCCCTCAGAACTTACTTAATCCCTTCTGCCCAAATCCATACAAAATAATACGTAATATTTTAAGTAAAAACTTGTTTTGTGTCTGTTTTATTTATATTATGTAAAAATAGGTTAAAATGTTCTTTGATTAGGCTTTCATTAATTTTTTTTTTCCTTTTTTTCTCCTCCTAACTTTAGAATTTTCCTAAAATGGGAATATTTTCAATAAAGTGGGCACCCTGATAAAAAGATAGGGACAGACAGAAGGAATTGAATCAGAGAGACTGCCGAACAGAGGAGGGGCAGAATAGGATGATAGCCAATCTAAAGAATAAAAAGCTTGGACTGTGTGAACAGCAAAATATTTAATTGTGGATGGCTCACTTACAGCAGTAGACATGAATGACTGCTGTAAACATCGATATTGGCTCATAAGCAGGATAGGGTGAAAAATAAAATAAAATAGAAAGATAAGGATATTATTTCTAAAACATGAATTACTGCATATATAAGTTTGTAGATAATATTGTTATTTAATTAAATACCGGCATTGATTTTTTACTATTCAAAATATTTCATCATAATAAATATTTCAAGATAAAGCATTAAACAATTTACCTTTAACTTTCTTTGGAATGACTTGAGCAGAATCATGACCTTTTTTTTCTGGACTTAGCACTTGTTCTTCTTTATTGATTACATTTGTAGTAATCAAAGTAATGGTATTGCCAAAATGAAAATTAGGGCAGTTTTCAATCCTAATATTACTTCCATTGGCTATTGGAAAAAATGAAAGATATTAAATTTCATGAAAATACCATTTTAACTAAATATTAGTTTCATAGAAAACATCAAAATCTGTAGAAAGTTACATATATTATTTCTCAAATATATATCCCTTTTTTGGCTCTCTGGAGAGATGGATTTTGACGAATGAGGTATCAATATAAAGGGAATATCACGTAGAGTGCGCGAATCGTAATTTTGATTCATAATTTTATACCTGGACTTAAATAGAAGTGAATGTAAAAGTGGGAGGTTTCAAACCGTATGACGATGCCGTCTCAACGAATCGAGACGTTACAAATGGAGTCATAATTGGGGAATAACTCGGAAAGGACGCAATTGTTGGCCCATTATGCATATGGAGTGTTTGAAAGCTTACTAAATTCCCTAAAAAATGAAAAAAAAAGAAATCATCAAAATTGGACTATGTGGTGCAAAGATATAGTGTTCTAAACATTTAGTATTAAATCTACTTTAAAGATTTTTTGCTTTATTTCAGTTTTGAATAGCTCAGAAACTTTAAACTTGTTAAAGTAATAATTGTTTTTATCAACTATATTGTAGTAAATTTTTATTTTTTCATTGAATCTTTAAAATTTGTCAAGGTTATATATTAACAATAAAATTTATAATATCGAGGAAAACCTTTTTTTTTTTACCCTTATATACATATTCCATGCTTGGATCATTTAAATGAATTAAAGCATGGAATAAAAAATATAAGTGTACAATAAAGCTTTTTCCTCGATATTATAAATTTTAATGAATAGAATTTTTTATTAAACAGAAACATAATTGGCAAATGGTTGACTGTCGCGGATAATGAAGAGAAGAATAGTTAGGGTGGTCAGTCAAAAAAGAAGGCAAAAATAAATGATAATATTTATTTTTACATATGCCGACGTTTCGACCTGAAGTTCAGGCCTTCATCAGGGCTAAGAAAATAACCAGATAACAAGGTATGAGAAACATAAGTAGTGATGGTAAAAAAAAAAAAAAATAAAATAAATAAATATAAAGTAAAATGAAATTGTTAGAATAATGACTAAGAACTAAGAGATAAATAATAATAACCGTTACAAAGTGTGGAATGATGAAGTAGGCATAATCAAAAAGGGTGACATAAGTGTTACAATGGGAATCTTAGAATAAAATGTAAAACATAAAAAAGAAATATGAAGTTATATAAGAAATGAAAATAAATAGTAAAATTAAGACATTGAGAATGGAGTAGTTAGATAGAAAATTGAGATATTGTAAAGTCTATCAAGATGTACAGACAATGTATAATGTAATAAAGAGTTAAAAACAGAGAAAAGGAATGAAAGGAAGGAGGGAAGAAATTGAGAAAGCTGAAATAAGAAATAAATAAAAGAAGTACTACCTGTCTCCTTAAGTGTTGCAGGGAGAATAAAAGTCGTTGCAAGGGAGGGGGAGAGAGAAGAGATGTGTAGGTGGCTTCATCTCTAACGGTTATCCGACGAAGTTTGAACTAAAGCACCGGAAGCGTAAATAGGTACGAGAGATATATTACTCAGAAATATTATGGAAAATTGAACGGAAGTTAATAGAAAGTGGATGAAAAATTCAAAAGAAAAATAATTGTTGAGTAATAAGGGAGAATAATTGAAATACAAATATATATATATATATATATATATATATATATATACACGCATACACATACACACACACATATAAATATATACATATATATATATATAATATATATATATATATATACATATATATATATATATATATATATATATACATATATATATATATAATATATATATATATATATGTAATATATATATATATATAAGGAAGTTGTCAGCAAAAAAAAGTAAAGGAATATAACTATGAATGTTTTAATAAATTCAGAATTTGGGAGTAGGCTAAAGAAAAGTTATGTTTGTCAGTTTTTAGATTCACTGTCTTTGGTTGAATACTTAGCTGTCCCCCACAGTTCAAGTCCATACGCCCAGATAGGTTTCAGTACGGTCTTGTAGATTAATAATTTGCTTTCAATTGTAAGATGAGATGTTCTGTTTAATAATCTGTATAACTGGCCGAATCGTCAGTTTAGTTCTTGTCTTTTAAGTCTGGTGTGTGGGTTCCAAGTCAGTCATTTGTCTAAAAAGAAGCCAAGATACCGAACAATGTCTGAGATGTGAAGTGCTATATAGACAAATGACTGACTTGGAACTCACTATATATATATATCAAAAACATCATTAAATTTTATATCATAAATATAAAGAATTAATTTATGATATAAAATTTAATGATGTTTTTGATTACAAGAAATCATAAAAAAAGAACATTTAGTCAAATCACAGCTTTTTAAAACGAAAATGAAGAAGGAAAATCACAAAAAGTAAAATAAAAATAGTTTTGATGGAAAAGAGTGGCATGTACAACATGAAGAAAAACTACCCATTGGTAGCACTCCAATTATATTTCTATATTAGAAGGTCCCGAGGCCATCTTCTTTTCACACGTCTCGGAGGGTTATCGGGAATAGAAGAGGAAGCAAGGTTGGAAACAAGAGGGTTCGGATGGTTCAGAAGTTTATTATGAAAGGACAGGTATCTGGATTGAGCTAAATCGGAAACATATGGTACATTAAGGTCATTATGGATGATTTTATTTGTGACAAAGTAGGGAGCATTAAGGATTTTACGAAGGATTTTGGATTGTAGGGATTGGATACGAGAGGAATTTGATGGTTTAGTAGAGCCCTAAAGCTCGATCCCGTAAGTCCAAATAGGCCTTATTATAGTAATATATATGAGTCTTTTGTAAATAGTTGGCAGTTTAGAGCGTTTGTCTAGTAAGTGCTGGAGTAGTCGAAAACGTCGGGCGGTTTCTAATCGTTTCAGTCTGGTATGATGGGGTTCCAAGTGAGTCGTTTGTCAAGGTGGAGTCCTAGGTATCGGATTTGTTCAACAGGGATAAGTGGGGTATTGTTAAAGGATACTGTAGGACAGGAAGTCATAGGTTTACGACGAAGAGTAAAGGTAATTTGATGGGATTTATTGGAATTTATTTTAATCCTTCAGTTTTGACACCATTTTTCAAGACTTGTGATGTGTGATTGAAGAGTTTGGGATGCAATAGATGGATCGCTATTAACTGATAGGATACATGTGTCATCGGCATAGGTGGTGATGACAATGTTGGAATGGGTTGGGATGTCAGCTGTATAATCTGTATAAAGGATAGAACCTAGGATACTACCTTGAGGAACACCAGCAAACTGAGAAAAAAGAGATGAAAAAGCATTGTTATGATTTACTTTGAAGAATCTGTTAGTAAGGTGGGAACGGATAATGAGGAAGTATGTAGGTGGTAGGAATTTACGGAGTTTGTACATCAGTCCACGATTCCAGACTCTATCAAACGCCTGTCCAACGTCGAGAAAGACTCCCGTGCAGTACATTCCGCGCTCCAATGCAGAGGAGACTACATCAACCACACGATGGCACTGCTGAATAGTTGAGTGCTATGTGCGGAATCCAAATTGGTGATCTGGGATAATGTGTTTAGAGTCTAGGATGGGATACAGGCGTTTCAAGATGAGTTTTTCCAGGATTTTGCCCATAATGGGTAAAAGAGAGATAGGTAAGAGGATGGGTTTTCTGGCGGCTTCATGGGTTTAGGTATCATTTTGACAATGGATAGTTTCCAAGGGTCAGGAAAATATGTGGTTCGGAGTACAGCATAAATATATATAGGTTAGGAATAGTATGGCTTTTTTAGGAACCAGTTTTAGGATCTGGGATGTAATTAGGTCATGGCCAGGAGCTTTGCGGGAAGATAATCTATGAATGATATAGGATATTTCTGAAGGATGAAATGCTTTAGGTGGAGGAGTCAATTGGAGTGGGATATCCAATTCTGCTTCAATAAACTCAAGGTGGGTTGGATTAAGGATATCAGGATGTGGATTAAAGGTTTGGAAGAGGTATTGACCGAATAGTTGAGATTTTTCTTCATCGGATTTGGACCAGGTTTGGGATTCAGTTAATAGTGGATGGTTAAAGTCTTTAAACTTTAGTATCTTTTTTGTGGTCGTCCATAGAGATTTGTCAGTAGTTGTAAGATTATCAGTTAGGTTAAGTAATTTTTGTGTTTTTGTGTAGGACATCTGTTTCAGCTAACATTTCATTGAGTTACAACAAGAAATATTCAACAGACTATGTGCAGTGTAACCGTAACCTTGATTGATAGTGCTGCATTAGCTATGTCTCTTCAAAATCCCAACAATGTTGCTACTTAAGAATTTTTCAAAGAACTGTAATATATTATAATTTAATAACTGTCATATATAGAATTGCTTTTTAAAATTGAAAACATAGTAATCGCTATTTGGCATATTTTATCTTTTTTGTTTACAGCGTTTTCTAGGTAACTCATCAAGTGCGAGGGACCTGAGGCAACCACAAAAATTGAATTTTATAAACTTTTGTCACCCCAACTTGGTAGTCTTTACTCAACTATCTATGTCCTGTTTATTTATTCAATACTTTAATTATGCTATTGACATTTCTTTCCTTTTTTAAAATTTCTTTATTTAACTTAATTTAACTAATCAACTAAATAAAATCATTTAATTTAAATAAGCAATATATAAATTTAGAAAAAGTAAAAATATATCAATTAGCCTACTCATTTCGAGAAGCAGAGTGCTCCTCAAATGCCTACTTGATATTAGTCAGGAGTTTTGTACCTTTGGAATTTGTAGGTACAAGACGTAATAACATATGTAAACTGTGATAACACAAAACAATTTAGTACGAACTTTACCTTAACGACCTTCTCTTATTGTATTAACAGCATTAGAGACAGCTCAACATCCATATTATGATTTTGTTCTATACTATAATTTAATTTCTTATTTATATATATATACATACTTTTTTTTTTATTTATACTTTATTGAATGATAATACAATCTACCTCATGAAGGGCAACAAGTATTAGTGCTACAAGAGTTCATATACATACTAAATGAAACTTGGCCTTATTCAATAATCTCAATATATTGTTTTGATTTAGTCTTAAAAGTTTCTACTATAGTTGTTTCTACTTACTGGGGATGCCTTCATTTTGCGGTGCACTAAAATTTGGCTGAGGTTTGGATTTATACTTTTTATTTTTTTCTTTAAATGAAACAGCATCCGAGGTAACTTTGTGGAAGAAAGATTTCATCCTAAATTATAATTAAAAATAAATAAGTATAATTTTAAAAATTAAAATTTCATATCAACTACAATTTTTTTTAAACTTGTTTATTAAAAATATTACAATTTGCCTCAAAGGACATTTATAATAGTGTTAAGAGATCACACTCACACTCTATGTACAGTAAAAAAAATTAATTATGCCGAAAAATAATATATATACAATAAATAAGTATAAAATAATCTAAAAATAAATATTGGTAAAATTTACATCATTTTTTTTTTTTTTTTGCTAATACAATCATTATCAGGTAGGACGTTTTATAATATAGTAATTTCCTTTATAATATAGCCAAGTATTGCTACAATACAAAAGTTGATTACCAATAAATATCACGATTTAAACAAAGTTATAAAAAAAATAAATAAAAAAATAATCATAATAAAATAATAAATAAATTAAAGCTATCATCTTCGGAAGTATCAAGAGCTATGTCAGGAATTAGGGCAATAATATCGGCAGGTGGAAGTAAAAGTACTATCGATTATAGTTTCAGCAATGGTTTGATTTTTGAGGAGACTCTGGAATCATCGAAGGTAGCAGGAATAAGCTGGGAACCGCCAACATAGTCACATTTTTTTTTTTAATTTTTCAAATTAAGTATCTTATAAACTGTACTCTTCATGTCAGCGCGGTTAGTTGAATTTGTCCGGCATAGAAACGAGAAATGAAAAATAAAATAATAATAAATAAATTAAAACCATCCACCACTAGCGGATCCAGGATTTAATTTTGGGGGGGCTTCAGCCCGAAAGCTTTTTTTTTTCATAAAAATAACGATAATTGCTTTAGAAAAAAAGAAAGAAACTAACAACCTGTATGAAATGGTGTTTAAGTGATTCCTAAAGCCCTTTTAATATTAATCACACGAACAATAATACTTTAAGAGATACTTTTTAAATATTTTTTTCGATAAAACATGGTTATATTTTACTATTTTGGGGGGGCTTCAGCCCGAAAGCCCCCCCTGTAGATCCGCCCGTGCCATCCACTACTGTATGCCTTTTAGTCAGTCCAGTTAAGGAATGAGTTATAGAGAGCGTGAGCAGGGACCTAAGCAATTCCTTCAGAAACTTGTTTAGAGTATGAATATATCAAACGTCCTGACGTCTAGGAGAGGATGAGGGGGAGGAAAGGTCACAATTTTCAAGTTTCCACTTATATCTTGAAAACAGAGCGTCGCAGAGAAAAATTGACTAGTAACAAATAAAATTTTATAAAACCACATAAAACTTTTATTCTATAGGTTCTTCCGGAATTTTCAACCGTTTCCGAGATGGACGGAAAAAGTTTATTTTTTGGAAAAAAAAAAAAACATTTAACCTAACTATGATGTCAGGAAATCACTTCAGGAAACAAATGAGGCTATGATAAAAAACTTTTACACCACAAATACATAAACTACATAAACATAACAGTATCAGGAACAAAGGACTAATACTCCTGAGTAACCTCACCCAAGCCAAAACCTGCCTTTGTTTACAACAGCTACATTGCTGCCAGATAGCATGCATTAAATCTACACACTCCCATCTTTACAATTTATACTTAAAATTGTAAACCGATTTAAAATAACAAAAAAAAAATTTAAATATGCAATACAACAATTTACAGGTTAAATCATTAATTTAATAACCCTTAATAAACAACTTCAACAAATGTTTTATGCCTCATTTTTAGTATTGATAAGATCACTGGTTAATAATATTAAGAGATACACTACTCTTCTTTTTTTCTTCTCTTCCAGTTTTGGAAAACTTCGTTATAGGACAATGAAGAATTATTCGTACCACTAATTGTTACTTTTCTGACTAAAATCTGGTTCTGAAGGGAGTCTTTGGCTGATGACAGATCTGACAGATCTACACTAACATTTTCCATCTAACTTTCCTTCATATCGTCTGAACTATTCGCAAAAGAAATTCATTTAAAATAAGTTGTAGAGACTTAAATTCCTTATTAGAGTATATATAAATATGGAAATTAATCTCTAACCAATCTACAGTTACAGTTATTTTAACCTTTTTAGTATAATATTGTCATTTTCAGAAAGAGTTGTTTTTATCATATTCTTAACCCACAACTTTTGTCTGATAATATGCGTGGCCACGCTTTACATACAATTACTAAATAAAGTAGAAAAAAATCATGTTACTCGAAAATTTTAATATTTTATTTTACAGATAACAAAAAGTTTCATGGTAATTTCATTCTATTACGTTACATTAAATACATGTGATTATAAACCTCATTGTTATCATTGTTCTCAATAACTTCTTAATATTACAGTCACAAATTTATATGGATTCACATTTTCATCCATTTTGAACGGCAAGGGCTGTTCGTCCATGACATCTAGTAGATGATCCTGAGTAGTGGTACACGGTTGGGTCAGACCCCCCCCCCCCTACTGTGAACTTCCCCCCCCCCTCCCCACATATCTACAAATTGTATATTGTTGTGCTTCTGACAATTATTTATAAAAAAAAAATAGTCCCACAAAAAAAGTGAACGTATAGTCCCAAAATGGCGGTTGACAACTTTGACTTGAGTTAGTTTTTCGTTCATTGAGATTCAGCATTTGGTTTAATTTCGTCATAATTGGCATTTTATTATATCTTAACAGCCAGAGAATAATAAATCATGAAAAAATAATTGGTTAAGGTAATAAAAACACTGGTGTAGACAATGTGTTCAATTCGACCAAAGTAATGTTGAAAATCAAGCATCATATGTAAATAAAATGCCAACAATAACGAAAAATGTCTTGAAATAAAACATCTGTACGATGTTGATTTTTCTTTCTAAATGAGTGATTAATTTTTAAAATATTTGCAATGTTCTTAAGAAAATAAACTTAATCGGCAGAAAAAGCGGCTTTTCTGTACACGTCTAATAAATTCTACCACGAACTACAGCGAATTTCTTTCGCAGTAAAATAGTTTAGACGAAATGAAGTTTGATGGAATATGTGAGGTAAGATTTTTTTTTTGTCAACTTTTGTCCGAACGTGTAGCTCGAAAACGGTTGAAAATTCGTGAAAACTTAATTTTATAAACTTTCATTTGTTACGGAACAATTTTTCTCTGCAACGCACCGTTTTCGAGATATAAGTGGAAACCTGAAAATTGTGGCCTTACTTCCTCGGTCTCACCACTTAGACGTCAGGACGTTCGATACTCCACCCTATGGGAATCCGGAGATAGAGAATTATCGCCTGAGATAGACAAGAACAGCAAGAGAGACCCTGATTCTTGTAGGACCGTAGCGCTAAAAAAATTAATAAATAAGTACTATGTATACAATTATAATTAAATTCTGTTAAAATCTTCTAAACTAAAATAATAATTCCTTAACCTAACATATATATATTAAAACGGTATAAAAATAATAAAAGGCTTAGCGAACCCGACACCACCAATCGCTGTCTACACACCTCATACCAACGGTCGCCGTCCAAACACAGTCTCTTCAGGTCGGCCTTAACGCAATCTTCCCACCTTCGCTTCGGTCTACCTCTCGGACGTTTACCAGTCAGCACAGCAAATATTAACCTTTTATGAATTCTTTTGTTAATAAGTCCAACAATTTTTCAAGCTCATTTAATTCGCCACGATGTAGTCACCTCAATTATATTAACCGAGTACAATTCACGCAATTCGGCATAGTGTAACCGTCTCAACTTTCCGGTCAACTTGTCCCTTCGGTCCGAATATTCGACGCAATACTTTATTTCTAAAAATCTTAAGACTTTGCTCTTCCCTTGATGTAAGCGGCCATGTTTTGCCATCCATAAAGATATTCAGCTGTTGTCAATTCATAAATTTAGTTTTTTTATCATAATAATATAATATACATATATGGCTTACAATAGGGCTCAACTTATACGTCTTGAAAACGGAGTAAAAATAATAAAATTTTAATTGTTTATGCCAATTAAATTTATTGCACTAATACGGACTTGTTAACATATTAAATAAAAATTCATCTAATTAGGTCCATTTTCTCATATCTTAATCCCACAAGGCCTAATAAAAGATCCCCGAACCTATACGGTATATTTAAGAAGTTACAAAGGTAAAATCATAAGTTGCAAGGAAAAAAGAAAAGGGATCAAAATGTTATCAAGAATCATTACTTTTAAATTTTAGTTTTAAGTTTAAAGTGACTAACTAAGCAAAATAAATGTCTTCTTATATTTTCATTAGTTTTGGTGTTTCTTGTTTCATTGGCGTAGATAATATAACGTGCTTATGATTGTAGTTTTTTTTTTCTTTAATTGAGTATTGATGTTGCAGGAGAGAAATACAATTCAATAAAAAGGCGTTGCCTTCCTGTATATAATTGTTTATTCTTTCTTGGTACCGCTTTCGGTCCTTCATAAGGCTAAACAAAATATAAAAAATAGCAACAATAATATAATAAAAACAAAATTTAGAAAACAATGTTTAAAATGAATAAAAATTTAGCAATTAAATAAAAACTAATTATCACGTAATGTATTACGGTCCTCTTCTCTTGCTTGTCAGATGAGGGTTAAAAATGAAAATAACACTATTGCTTAGGTGTGCTACCTCATCCCCTTACATCGTGTTTCCGTTAACCGCTACTAATTTACAGAGCGCAATATCCTCACAATTGAGTATTATTGACATTTCAGCATAATACGTTATTTTTTCTTGATCTCTGGTTTTTCAAAAAAATCCATTCTTTTTCCTTTAGCTACAGCCTATGTGAGTTTTACCATACTGTTTTTATGTGACAACGAAAAATTTCCAAAATAGTCCTTGAAACCGAGATGTATGGCCTGACACAAGGAAATGTTGTTTAATACTTCTTTTTCTTAGTATCCTTTAGATGTGCCCGATATAAACGACAACCCGAGAGGCTCAATCAAGTAAATAAAGGAAAAATATCCCCACAATGTGATTGTTTAAAGGCTGTTTAATTCATAAAAATATTTATTTT